GGCAAACCTACCAGTGAGAGCCCCAGCCTTACGAACACGACGCAATCTAGGAAAGCGAGTACCCATCTTACGCACACGTGCACGAAGCCTCTGAAAGCGTAAAGCTCGTCCTGAGGTGACCTCTATGCCCAACACTTCTAGGGCCGACACATATCGATAACCGAACTTGCCGAGAGCACGGCAAACTCGTTGAGCGATAGTAGGATAAGCACAAGTCACGGTCATCTTGCGCTTGGCGGGCGCCAAGTCAACGGAGCCGAGCACGTCCACCAACCCTTCCAACACATAACATGCGTGCTTGAAAATACTAGCCACCTTAGCTTGGATCTGTACCGTCAGGTCGTCAGCGTACACGTGCAGCGCGCGATCAATGTGCACCGAGCTACCATACAAAGCGTCGATAGGCGATAACAGAACCAGCTGTAACATGAACATAGCCATGCTGCATCCTGGAAGTACTCCCCGAGAAGCAAACACAGGTTCCGAGAAAGCCCCCGCCCAAGCTAATCGACGCTCGTACGTGTACATGCGCAAAGCTAGAGCCACCAGGGCCCCTGGGAAGCCGTGCTTGATAGCAGCTTGTGTGATGACGGCCCAGAGAACCCTGTCGAAACATTTCTCAATGTCCACGATGGCGTGAAGGCAGACAATGTCATTCCACTGCGCCTTTTTTTCTGCGGTGGGTGAGCTTCACCATGCAACAGAACACGCGAGGCAACGTCCGTGGTCGCCCTGCCAGTGCCGAGCGCGATATACTGACGACCTAACCGATTGGCCCAGCATCGTACATGATCAATGCGAGCCTTGGCCCGAACTCGATATAACGAAACCAAGAGAGCGATAGGTCGATAACCCCCTGCAGGTTTCTGGAGCAACACGATATGTATATGCTGAAGATACCGAGGCCAGGAAGACCACACTTCACACATATGAAACATATATCCCAAGAAAGATAAAGCCCCATTCGACACCAGGGCCCAGTGCTTGGGCCTCCATAAGTCAGCACCTACTGCAGTCCTGGCAGGAAAGGCCTTGGCGGCCTTGCGTAGCTCCTGGATGCCCATTGGCGGAAGCCGAGGACCCAAATCACGAAGCTGCGCCAAATCGTGCTGCAGCTCGTCCAGAGAGGCTGGCGAAGACCCGCCGTCCCATATACCTTCCCAAAACTCCCGCTGAACGTTGGCCACATCATCGGCGTGGCTCGAAGGGCCCCGGGAAGTGTGGACCTGGGACAACTGCCACCCACGAGGTTTCGTCCAGCAATGCACAGGCTTAGAACGGCTGCTCAAGCAATCCCTGAGCCATTTGACAAACCCCTGACCTCGAGCCTGGCCCAGCCGCCGCTCCTCAGCAGCAGCAAGATTGGACAGGGTGACGCAGAGGGCGCGGAGGAAGGCCACGTGGTACACGGACGGCTGCGCGAAGAAGCACGTGATGTAATAGACGACCTCCTGAACCAAACTGGCGCCGAGCGCCGATGTGAGCCGCCGCAGCCGACCCTGACCGCCAACAAAATCAATGAGCGGCTGCCAGATCATGTTATGCTGCGGCAAGGGGGTACACCCGTGCTTGGCCACTACGTGCGCGAGGTCTTCCAACCGATGCTGCAGGGCCCGAACAGCAAGAGAATGAGTAGTGCCAGCAGGTTGCTGGCTGCCCAGAGCGCCTCCCGCCGTGGTCTTGCGGTAGGTGACCTGGCGTCCACGGCCTTGGTACTTGCCGTAGTCTGAGCAGTCAAACAACGGAGCCAGCTCCTTCTCGGCTCCTGCGTACAGCTGTTGACACAGAAAATCCAGACGTCCCGCACGCGACCTGTCATCACCAGGCCCGAGTTGAGCATCCTGTTGCATCTTATCCACCCAGTCGATGCCAGAGTCGCCCAAGAGGACGGCGTCTTCGTCATCATCATCCGAGTTATCAGAAAGAAGAGGCTTGCGAGCTGGCTTACCAGGCAGAAGACGCGGGCCCTGCAGCTGCACTAGTTGACGAGCTCGAGGCCGAGGGCCGACTTGAACTCGCATTGGAAAGTGGGGGCGAGGCGGATAATCTTCAACGCGACGAGCATCGGTCATTTCCGCCGCAATGGCATCACTGGCGAGCCAGTAGTCCAGGAAAGTATAAGTGCCGTTTGCCGCAACCCGATGAGATCCAAGCGGAGCGACAATGAGGTGGCCATCGATACGCTCCACGAAAGCGCTGTCGCTCAGCACCTGAGGGGAGACGTTCCAGTCACCACCGATGACGTATGGGGCGCGATAATATCTGAGCGCCTTGCCCAGCTGCTCGAGCCGAGGTATATTGTCACCCGTGAGTCCAGGACCCTGCTCAAGATAAATACTGCCTGCAACAAACCCTCCACGAGGACCTGCATGGACGTAAACTGCCACGCACCACGACTTAACGAGCACATGATCACGTACGCCAGGAAGAGCGCCCAGAAAGGTCGTGCCGACGTAGTGCCGAACGAACAAGCCAACTCCAGCCATCGGCTGACCCGTAGGGCCAGTCTTACAATCACTGATGAAGGCCTTCCACCCGTTGCGCTGACACCATTCTTCTGCCTGAAGCCGCTGGCCCCCACGAACGTGAAGCTCCTGAGACGCGACTATGAGAGCCCCAGCGGCGCCTTCCTCGAGAAAGCCTCTGAGACGAGTCCAACCATTTGCATTGTAGGTGACGAATGCAAGCGGCTTCCGTCTGCCTCGTCTGGGCGCCCGTCGAACGGATGTTGGAAAATGAAGCCGATCAGCTGCTGGCCGTGATAACCTCACGCCGCTCACAGTAGCAGCCGAGCAATGAGTCGATTGATCTGCCTGTGGATAAGATAGCCTCTCGCCGCTCAAACCACTGGAAACCGTCATAGTAGTATCAGCACGCTGCACTCCCGAAGGTCGGCACGACCCGCCCCTCCGTGCCCCCCGAGGCGAGAACGACGAGCCATGCGTGCCGACGGGACTAGGTCCCGAAGGTCGGTACGACTCGCCGCCAATTGCCCCAGAGAGCTGAGGTGACGAGCCATGCGTACCGACGGGAGTAGGTACTACCACGGGTAGTTCAGACAGGGGCAGATCGTCCAGAGAACAAACCTGATTGTTGAACAGCCGTGGCATCACAAAGTATACGAAAGAATCAACTGCTTTACTCGCTTTCCTCCATCGCGGCCTCAGCGGCAGCGGCATCCTGGGCCTCCTGCATCTCGAGGAGGGGTGCCCATGGGTGTGCCTGCGGAGTGCCTGGGGCAGTGACACTGGCTTGAACTGCAGACTGCAACTGCGCCAGCTGGTCCTGAAGAGTCTGAAGCATGGTTGGAGAGTTACCTGCAAGTATCGCCGCAGAGGCCCCTGCCACCACCGTCTGTAGTCGACCCATGGCTTCCTGTACGGATAGTACATCTGATCCAGCAGGCTGGGCGGTGGCAGCGAGTACGGCGGTCCTGGCCAGGTGCACCTCTGACTGGATGTTCTGCAACTCCGTGGTGGCCTGGACGAGCGCCGACTTCTTGTCACCAAGCTTGATTTCCAACTCAGCGACTGCTTGGTTAAGTTCATCCACCTCTTTGGATTTGGCAGTGTGCCTGTCCAAGGATCGACGAAGCATATCGTCTGGTGTCCGATGAGCTTGCTCCCGCTCCTCGGCCACTTGTAAGTCACGTCGAGCTTGTTGAATAACTGGGGCGTCGTCGCCCAGGCCGCACTTCCGCAAGGCCGCCAATGCTCGCCGTGCCTGGGCAACTCCATCAGCGGGGCTGGATGCACCGCTGCTGTCACCGTCAGGTTTCTTATCCTTGTCCTTTCCTCCAGAGTCTCGAGGACGGGAGGATGGTCTTCGTGAAGGTGGTCGCTTCCGTGGCACAAAGCTAGGATCAGGTACACCACGGCGGTCGCGACCGCACTGATAGCAATTATCGTTGCTGGCGTAGTTGCCCTCGAAGCCGCACTGGCGTGTCGCCACGCATGCCCATCTCGGCTCCTTCTGGACTTCTGGCCTTCTGCCTCGTCGGGCACCATTCCCGTTCACACCGGGGGCGGCACCGCGCATGAGAGGCTCTTGAGACCCGTGATGCTTATTCAGTAGAGCCCGCAGCTTTACAATCTTCAAGAAACGCCTGGCGTACGCGCGAGCCCGACGACGGGCCCGATGCCAGGCGGGTGAACGAGATCGCCCTGCAGGTATGATGTGTGTCGACCCGTGCGTGGGCGCAAAGGAGCCTGGGGCGGGCAGTGCAGTATCAAGCAGTGCAAGCAAAACGCACCGCAGGGAAATGTCTCCCACGGCCTAAGCCCACGCCTGTGGAGCTCCCTATGGGGCCACGGTCCTCGTGAGGGGTGTGCCGAAATGGGGCGGGGCCGCCATGCGAACGCTGCCACTGGGGCCTTCGGTGGAGCTCTCAATGGGGCCACGATCCTCGTGAGGGGTGCGCCGAAATGGGGCGGGGCCGCCATGCGAACGCTGCCACTGGGGCCTTCGGTGGAGCTCCCTATGGGGCCACGATCCTCGTGAGGGGTGCGCCGAAATGGGGCGGGGCCGCCATGCGAACGCTGCCACTGGGGCCTTCGGTGGAGCTCCCTATGGGGCCACGAAACGCTATACTGGGTGGGTGAAGCGCAGGGAGGAGGAGGAGGAGGAGGAGGAGGAGGGGGAGGGGGAGGAGGAGGAGGAGGAGGAGGAGGAGGAGGAGGAGGAGGAGGAGAGGAAGGAACGCGGGGTGACGTCTCTTCAAAACGAGGACCCAACACCACAGGATGGCTGGGAATGAGGAGTGGGAGTAGGAGGGCAGAACAAGACAGAGGAATTAGGGTAGGACAAACAGCAAGGAGGATGATGCGGAAGGGTGGAGGAGAAGAACGACGATGAATGAGGCGAGGTCGTAGGGAAGAGGAAGATGAAAACATTCGAAGGAAGAACATGGGCGGGATGGGGGGAGAAATTGCAGAAAAAGGGGACATCCGAGGACGAGAGCGTAGAAAATCATCGAGCGGAATGCAATGGTCTGCAGTGTCCTTGAACGTCGCGAGCATCTTGTTTGCTATTTTGAGGTCCATTAGATGCCTCGCGGCCGACAATAGACCAACCATCAACGACGGAAAATACATGACGGTTGGGTCCTTGATGGTTTGACAGATCTGGGCTCTCACTCTTGAGCAAACTACACGTCTAGCACGCACACGTCCATGCGACTGGGTTATCTCAGCCCGTGAAAGTCTGGCAAGAAACACCACGATCCCGAACGGTGCTGCGATCGATGTTACATGCGAAGTTGTGCAAAACCTTCCTGCCGCGCGCACGCAGAAAAGGTTATGTTTGCTGGTGCCCGCGCTGTGAGCTGCCCATGGTTGCGCTCGCACAAGCTCACGCGTGCGCAACATTGTGCATCCCTTGCAGAGTATGCTCACGCAGAGGCTCCAATGTCATATGTTCGTGCGCGTAACGCATGTGGACTGATCAAGTGCACACGCACGGCACATGCAATCATGTGTTTTCAAATCCGCGTGACCGCACGCGCGTAGGCAGACAGATACATGCCCGCAAAGAAACAAAACGCATACGCGTCATCGTTGATGATCGTTGATATGCCCCTACATCTAACATCCGCACCGCAGATCCTTGATACCAAACGTCGTCACACACAAACACACAGACAATTCCGCGAACTATTCGCGACCATGGCAATCGGCCACTCCTCCATCGGCGTTTATCAAGCCCAATCAACGCTATGATAAAGGCGTTCTTATGGTTAGAAGGGATGCACGAACACGTGCATCTGAATGCGCAAGTTTGCCGGTTAATATACTGTCACGGGCACATGAAGGCGTCAGCACGTGCTCACGCATTGCATTATATCCCTATGAATTCGATTACGTCTCCGTACACGCTTTAACGATACAATTGCTTGGTGAGAAACTGCACACATTGAGAACGCGGACAAAGTGCGGACGCACGCACTACCGTGATCATCCGAATGGGTCCCAAGCAACACTCACCGCATTACCTGCAAACATCTGCGCATGACAATAGCAACCCGTGTAGCAATTCTCACGACCTAGACTTCTCTGTACCCTCGAAGAGATGATGCCACACTCCTTGCCGTTATTGTCATGTGGCCCTTTTCCCCTCAATGACTACCCCGTACGCAATCATAACTTGAGAATCGGATGTGGGAGTTCTACAGATATTAGGCTGGTGCGAGGTACTGATGGTATATGCAAGTCTTGCTCAGAGGCCACACTCCTCCACATAACAACAATGTCGCCACCAGATAGGTTCCCGCAAATAACTGAGGCCACGTGCTCTGAAGCATTGAAGTCTGCTATGCTGAGATGCAGAACCTTCCAGACACCCCCCGTCGAGGCGATGCGAATTCTTCTAAATCCTGGCTGAGAAACTACATTGGCCAGCGCCACAACGAGCTGCTGGTATTCCATCACTGTATTACCATGCAAAGAAAGACCAAACGTGCCGAGAGCTGTTGCAAAGCAATGACACTCACGCATGCCAGAGAAAGAGAGAGAACATCCCAGAAAACGTAATAGCCAATCAGGGGGACGGAACGGCCCGAGAGAGCATGACAGAGTCGCTGGGCATACAGAAGCAAAGCGAGATGAGGGCGACAGGTACCCTCCGATGCTGAAATCAACTGCCGAACCCACCACCGTGATGTCGGGAGCCATCTTGCCCGCGACCTGAATTGGCATGCGCTGCAACTCCGATCGCGCGCCCTAACTCCCTGAGCTCTGTGGCCGAGTGCCTCGTCGAGGGACAAGACAGGACTGGACGCCGAACATCGTTTCGGAGGACGGCCCTAGAAGAGCTCGGCGACGGCGCTGGAGAGCAGGATGCGCGTTGGGTCCACGATGACCGAAGCGCAAATGTAACTACCAGCGCTTGCACTCGATGTCTTGACGTTGTAAATGGGGAAGCGGATGACGACGACCACGAAGAGCGAGGAAGAAACAGTGCACTGCATGCATGCAACGCGTTGCTGCATACACTCACTCATGCAGGGGCAAGTCACGTGCGAACACAACACAAACACATGGTGGGTGTGGGACTCTCTCTGTATCGGTCTTTCTGTCTTTCTCTCTCTCTCTCTCTCTCGTTCTCTCTCTCTCTCTCTGTCTCTCTCCCTCCCTCGCTGTATATACATGTAGATGCATATGACAAACGTTCGCAAAACCTACCATATTGTTTGGGTGCCGCTGATTGTAAACATACTAGCCAGCGCACGCCCCAAACAGTGAATTGGTTGCACTGGGGATGTGGGATTATTAGGACATGTCGCGAAAGCTATGTGGAGTAAGCTATGTTGTGTTAGCCATGCAGGTGGCAGCTATGCGGTGTAAGCTGCGTGGAGTGAACTATGTCGTGTAAGCTATGCGGTTTGAAAGAATACTGGAACCTATGCGGTGTAAGCTATGCGGTGTAAGCTAGCCTTAGCTACGCGGTGTAAACTACCTGCAATATATGTGGTTTAACCCCATATGGTGTAAGCTAAGTGTGCAAGCTTTGCAGCTCAGCGCACGGGGCACCAACGAGCGCCACGAGGCGGCACTGGCAGCAGCGTGGCGAATCTTGGGAAGAACCATCCTGAGCACGGGATGCCAACGGAGCGCCCACGAGGCGGCACGGGCGGCCACGCAGCAAATCCGCTGGAAACCCACCGTGCGCACGGGGCACCAACGAGGCGGCATAGACGGCAAAGCAGCAAACCAGCAGGGAACCCACCCAGCGCACAGGGGTGCAAACGAGGCGGCATAGACGGCAGCGTAGCGAAAGCCTAGGGAATCCATCCAGTTCTCCAAAGAAACACAACAAGAATCACTAAGTGCAAGAACCATGTAGGGAAAGAAAAAAAATACTGACCACCAAATGCACACACCGTTTGGGACTTATTGCGGTGTGTGCGTGTCAATATGTATGCTCAGAAATGCGGAAGGTCGCCTGTGAATTCAAATTTGCTTCCGGGCTGCATTATTGAATGCCAGCGGGACCAAGTGCTGTCTTTGAACACGATCTCACTTCGCCAATTGTCACATGACGTTTGGGCTGGTATGGGGCCGGGGACTGACGGCAAGGGTGGTGAATACCACTAATACTCAACATGGGGCCCACATCGCTGCTGTAGACTCGTCACTCGGCAACACACAACCAAGAGCAAATGAGGCGGGACCATTCCGGCTGAACGGGCCCCAAATCTCACGACTGACACCTGGCGCGCAGAAACATAGCAACCAGAGGAAGCCATCAAACCAGGGAAATGCTGCGCTTATGCTGTAACCATCAAGGATGTCCAACGATCTTGCTACATTATCATACGAAACAACTTGTGCGCAATGCGGTTGCCACATGACGACGTAGTAACATGAGAACGGCACACCACATTGCAAACACTTCAAGCACATGAGCGGGACGTACGAATACTTGAAAGACCGTGGCATCGGCTCGACAACTACATAGCCCATATTCCCGCGCAATCCTCTGTCTTCCGCGAGCCCAAATTGTAGAACACCATCAGCTCGTTAGCGCCCTGCCAATATCTAAATCCCATCCGCAAAATCGGCATGCCGTGGTACCTCTGACAGCCCTAGCAGTAGGCTACGCCATGATACAAAGACCCCCTAAACAAGCAAAAGTCTCCGAGCGGAACGCTTTGCACACAAGCGCAGGGTTCCGAACCGTATTGCTTCTGTGCTTTCGATCGCAGGCCATCCTTCTCGTTGGCTCTGGAACATCAGCTGCTCTAAGCCTACTTCGCTGAATCGCTACACGGCTGCTATTCCTTGTGACCTCCGATTTCGGAAACTCATTCGTCGTATTCTTGAATCTGACCGTACGATGATGCCACTCCATGTCCCTTCTCCCTCCACACCACCGCGCTAAATCCTAGTCCTCCTCGCCTGCTTCTGTCCTCCCATGCCTCGTCCCCTCCTGCCTCCCTTCCCTCCCCTTCCCTCCTGTACCTTCCTGCTTGATACAACTGTTTCCCCCTTCCTGTTTTCTATCTACTCCAGACCCCTGCTCCCGCTACCTCCCCTCTCTGCTCTGGCACCAACACGGTTGAAGCCACGCTGCTCACAACGTCCATACCGGGTTTGAGAAGAGGCGGATGGATGGCGTGACGCCAAAAAGAAAACATCTCCCACCGCCTTGCGCCGTTCGCTGCCGAGCGAAGTGAACCCCACCCTCCCCCTCAGAAATCGTGGGGGGTAGGGGCAAGGTTCGCATGTGGCCCCCTGCCTGATGGTAAGCCTGATCCGGGGCACAGAACGTTACCAAGCCTGTGACGGCCGCGCGCCAAGGGCAGAATGGGGCCAATGTTTTTTTTCTGGCTACTTTGCAAGGGAAACGAAGCCCCCACGTAGCCTTAGATGAACGCCAAGCTACATAATCCCACCAGCCCTCTGGGCGTCGGTGGTTTAGAGCGTTTCCTCTTCCACCCCTCCTTCTTTCCCTTCGGGGAGGGGTTTACCCCTCCCCCTACCCCCTCCCCACTGACCTGGACAGGGGGGTCCGCGGCGCGTTGGAGCGCCCAAGATGGCCCAAGACGGCTCCAAGAGGGCCTCAGGGAGCCCAAGATACCCTCCAAGATGGCTCAAGATAGCGCAAGATGCCTCAAGATGGTCCCCATGATGTTCCAAGACGTTCCAAGAACTCTCCAAGACGGTTCCAAGTGCCCACAAGAGCATCATTAGGATGCATCCAAGAGGCCAACATGCTTCAAAACCCTAGGGAACATCACTCATGCACATCCGAGGCGTCAAGAGGCTCCAAGATGGCTCAAGATAGCTCCAAGCCCCCAAGAAGAGCCCAAGAGAGCCCAGAGCGATGAGCTCCAAGAGCAAAAGAGCGATCCTCAGGAAGCGGCCCACCCTAGGATGGGCCCCCCCCAAGAGGCCGCAGGATGGCCCCCAAGACCCCCAAGAGGCCCCAAGAGAGGAGAGGCCCCAAGAGGCAAAGATGGCCCCAAGAAGCGCCCAGGAGGCCCCCAAAGAAGATGGCCCCAAAGAGGATCCCGAACGGCCCACAGAGGCCCCCCCGAGGCACCCAAGACGCCGGAAAGCCACTCAGGACGACCCTCTGCTCGCCTGGGCGTCGTTTCTGTACGGGCTGGTGGGGATACTTTTTTCTTTGTTTTTACAGCCGCAGGCGGAAGCGCCAGCGGCGGGCGGTACTGGTGGGGATACGCGAAGCGTCTAGAATTCGCCTACACCGCCCACCACACCCGTGCCGACCCCGAACGCCCTCGCTTCGTACCACCCGCTCCCGCTCCTGGCCCCGAACCCCAAACTTGTTTGACTCCTCGGACGCGCCCCTGCCCACAGCGCCGTATGAGGCGGCCGAAAGGCAGGAGTATGTAGATGAACTATCATTTGTCAGTGACGTCTCCTCACCCTCTTGCCGAAGTTCGGCGCCCTCAAGACTCCAGTCCCGCTGACGGACGAACGTCTGTCGCGCATTGCGCGCGCTCGTGCTCCAACTCGCGAGGGACGATACATGTGTGTATATATATAAATATACAAATAGAGACTATGCGCAGATATGTACACAGACATAAACACACATACATATATGCACATGCTATCTAATCCACACACATGCATATGCATGCCCACCTACACACATATATACACACAACTATGTATGTATGGTACAACTACCTATACATGCACATAAACATACACAGACACCTGTACACATATGTATATACACATTTATTTATAGATGAAACCACCGGGCATGAACGCGCACACTTGCAGATCGCACCTTGGGCTGCCAACCCGTTATCCGGATTTAACCTTGCGACAAGGCGCAATAGACTGGGATATGTTTTGTTTGCATGTTTGGCTTTCCACAGACATCGTTCTTTGATGGAACATCTGTGTGTACGGTTGCTTTTCCTTGAAAGCCACCAAAGAGGGATCCACGTCTACCCAGAGATGCCCTCAAGACGGCACCCGAACGCCAGGAGGACCCTGAGAGGCTCCCACAAGCCCCCAGAGGGCCCCTCAGAGGCCACTGGATGCCCCCAAGAAGCACCCAGAAAGGTCCCAGGACGCCACAAGACAGCCTCCCGTTCTTCCTCCTCCTCCTCCTTCTCCACTCCTCCCCCTCTCATCCTCCTTTTCTCCTTCTCTCATCGGCTCGGGGCACATCGGCCCAGGAGTTCCCCCAAGAGGGTCCACATCGGCCCGGGGCACACATAGTCTAACAGCTTGGTCAGACTTTGGCCCCACATTTGGCCGCATGGGAATTTCCCCAGAACAGGGGGCGGCGATGGTTCGCCGTAAGCGTCATCGATAAACGAAATCCCGACGTGCATGATCTCGAAACGACAGAACGTCCTTGGGCTACGCCCCGTGCGCGTACACTCTGGAAACTATGACCTCAACTGCGATGTCGGCAAGTGCTGTCAACCAGCTCGTAGCGGCCGAGCTGGCTTCCCTCACCTCCCAGCGAACCTTCTCGGGGGTGTAGTCTACTGCTCGCTGCACCTTCCGGAACGCGCGGAGTTGCAGATGCCACCACTCACAAGCATGCTGAACGCAATCAGACTGTGGCCACGAAGAACCACCAAACCACTGGACACTCAAGAACCACACGGAAACTCCCGGGCAACGGGATTACTCTGAATGTGGCCCGAGAGGTCGTAAGATCGAGAACGCTTGAAAAATCACCGAACGAAAACTCACACGATATTGCTGCTTCTGTCTGGCCACGGTCGGTACTCGGGTTTGGGGGGGGGTCGGGCCCCTGGGAACGGTAACGCTGGGGCGGGGTGGGGGGCACGTCGGGGGGAGGGGGGTGCGCCGCGATCGCCGCAGTCCGCGCGCGAACACCATCTTGTGGAAGAGAATCCAAATCCGCCCCCCCTCGTACGATCCCGGGAAAGGGGGGGGGTTTGCCCCGGGTAACGACCGTTCCGCGCCAGAGGATACACAGCACAAACCACACCGAGTCCCTCCTGAAAACAATCAGTACCTTCAGCCAGATGGAGCAACGGGGGACAGAATCGTAAAAGCCGCGGGGAGACTGCGCAAACAATCGGCTCTGCGCACGCAATCGACTCTGCTGGCTATTGCTGACCATATCATGAAAGAATAATCTCGGAAAGCCCCCCTGGCCACGATCTTGCGAAACTCCGGTAACTGCTAAATAATACTTCTACTTTGCGCGCGCGGGGCGGCCCCTGTCGGGGCGGGCGAAAGGGGGGGATAGCAAAGGGGGGGTTTGAGAATCAGCTCACGTAGCTGATTTTCCCGGCGCCTCCCGGCGCCGGAGGCGCCCATGTATCGAGGAATGGGCCCCTCGGTGAGGCCGAAACCAGCTGCATGCAGCAAATTTCGTAACCCCCCCTTTCCCAATCCCCCCCTTTCGCCCGGCCCGACCCTGGGGGTCCCTGGACGAAAAGTACCCCGGGCGATCCCCGGCAGACTCGGGTCAGAGATGGTTTTCCTCCTGGGCGCCGCCCCCGTGGCCCTCCAGAGAGCCCCAAGAAGGGCCACGAGGCCGCCAAGAGCCCTCCAAGATGGTTCAAGAGTGCTCCGAGATGCCACACGATCGTTCCAAGACGCCCAAGATGGCCCCCAGACGCCCCAAGAGGCCTCCAAGAGCACTCCCCAGAGGGCCCCAAGAGGCAAAATTCATTACTTTTCCATAGGTTTTGGGCAGATTTTGGCGTGTCCATCTTTTCGGCTTCCCGACGCCCCAAGACGGCCCAAGAGGCCCCCAAGATCGGCCCAAGAGTGCCCAAGAAGCTCCCAAGAAGGCCCCAAGATGGCCCAAGAGGGCTCCAAGACGGCCCCAGAGGCATCCAAGACGGCCCAAGAGGGGCCCAAGAGGGCCCCAAGCGATGCCCCAAAGGGGGAACACAAAAGAAGCCCCCAAGCGAGCCCTCGGCCCCCCAAGGGGCCCAAGAGGGGCCCAAGAGGGCCCCAAGCGAGCCCTCGGCCTCAAGAAGCCCCCAGGAGGCCCCTGAGAGGCCCCAGAAGCCCCCAAGAGGCCCTCAGGAGGCCCCCAAGCGACGCTGAAGAGGCCCCCCAGCGGCCCCAAGAGGCTCAGTCATGTGAAATGGGCCGGCGGAATGAGCGAAGCGATTCAATAATCTCGGATAGCCCCCCTGGCTACGATCTTGCGAAAATCATAATACTAACCAAGCGGTACAGAAAATACAAAGGGCATCAAACGTTGAGTACCCGTGGACACGTGGTACGAAACAACACGTGCATGAACATCAAACGCTCGGCCGTGTATTTCGGCAGCTGAAGCCGTTATCCCAAAGCTGGCCGTTGACCTAGATTCTGGCAAATCGAAGTAGCACTACCAGCTCGACTTCGTACGGCTGACTTCGGCGCAGGAACGCAGCAACGGCGTGAACACATAACGAGCACCCACATCGGAAATACATGAAATGCTTTATCCGCAACATGTGTTTTGGAACGCATGCTTCGAAAACGTATGATGTAGAGAAAGACAATGACCGCCATAAGTTTAGAGGGACCTATTGTTCCTACCATTTTGGGTATGAGAGATGATCTTTGCCCATAAGAAACTGCAACGCAAGAAGTGGGGCTCGCCAGTCAAAGATAGGGCGACTCGGTTAGCTTGGAGCTTGGTGTGATAAGAACTCGGCGACAATGGAGGCCACCCAAATAAGGCCGGAATAAAACAACAGTGTCGGAGGTTCGCGCCGCACCGCCAATGCATCGGCGATGCACGGGCGACGGCGACGTGGACAAATCGTGCTCTAGATCGCGACGAAACGCCGATGCAGTGGCGAAACGGAGCGGTGCTCCGACACCAGCACCCTCTCCAGCCCCAGTTGGGCGGCCTGATGCTTCGACTTCCCAAGAGAATTTCCCTCCTGAGATGAATCCCTGGACTTATGTTACTCCCATCGTACTTGAGGACCACATCCCAGAAATAATTTCGAGCACCCAGAAAGTGTCGAAACAGTGTCGAACGAGTGTCGCCTGCCAGGGCCCGACACGTGAAAACCCACAAGTCCCGGTATTCTTTTGTGCTCGAAAGTATTGCTGGTGATCCAGGCTAAAACAGGTTGGAACGTCGTAACCCTGGACTCCTGGACTCCTCCTGGACGCCATGCTGGCAAGGTTGTCGAGCCGCGTCCAGCCGTGGCCACGAGGGGCCCCGGCGAAGCCCAGAAAAGGGTCGCAGTCTCGGAACCCCCATCGCCCCTCCGGCCCCGTCTCTCGTCCGCGTGTTGGCGGCTTGGAGACAGGGAGAGGTCGAACGTGATATGCCAGGTCGGAGCCAGACTCCCTGCTGGAAATCCCATGGAGAAGGCACCAGGAAAACAGAGCCCAGTCGGCCTGTTGCGATGTGCTTTCGAGGAAGGCTTTCCGACAACAAACGAACTCCAATCCTGACACTTCCAAAACGATAAACGACGTCCAACCTCGGGTTTGTCCGCCACACACTGGCAAGACAACCGTAACTACCCTTCCAAACCGAACGTGCTCCTTCTCCCATCGCGATGCACGTATACGCTATGCGCCAGTGGTGCGCCGTGTGACTGCTCAGTTCCAGAACATAAGTAGATTCTTCTTTGGATCCCGACGTCCCACATTGTCGCGAGCTCGGTTGCTTGTTCAATATGGGGCCCTGGAGGCCCATTCGGGAACCCGCGAATGTCAAATCAATAACGAAAGTAACATGTGACAAACGGAGCAATTATCGGCAAATGTTCGCTCGACCAAAAAAAACAAACATGCTTGAAAACAGAAGCGTGTTCTTACGTTGCTTCATGGACAACAACTTTTGGACAACACGTTTTGTCTCCAGCGAGACGTACCCAACCCCTTCCCTACGCGAGACGACCATCTGTATGAACGTTCCAAGCTCCGCAGTGCCTCGCTGGAACCAAGGAGAGGGGCGACTGTTGCGCAATTCGCAACTGCCGCGAGGCCTCGACTCGTCCGCCGTGCCTCTCGGTAGCCCACAAGAGTGGCGACTCTGGCTAAAATCGTAACCACCGAAGGGGCCACGAGGTCTCGATGGGTCCGCGTGCAACTCCACTCCGCTGGACCTCCCTGACAAACCAACAACACACACACACCCGTACCCATAGAGGGGTCGGAGAGGGCTATGGGTGCGTGTTGTCGGATGGGGGTCCCCGCTCGAACGGGAGCGTTCCCCAGGGTCCGACAACCCGCACCCATACCCATAGCCAGTCCTCCTTCCAACGACCCCCATATGGGTATGGGTGTGTGTTGTTCGTTCGTCACTCCCAGGAGCACACGAAAATGGCGACTGCTGCGCAGGTCGCAGCCACCCAGGGAGCCGCACCATCCCGGTTGGGTGCGCGTGCACCTCCACCCCGCTGGACCGCACAGAAGCCCACAAACGTGGCGACATTTGTCACCATAGGGCTGGTCCAGGACAGCTACGGTGCCCCGCACGGTGCCCAAAGTGTACCCCAAACGGTGCCCCAAAATTCATGGTGTTGTTCAATTGCGGTGTGTTTCGCGATTGCGCCCCTGGCTTGCCCTATACCCTCGTGGCCCCTTCTCCTGTTTACCCGATACCTTCCTGGCCCTCTACTTTTGTCTGCCCAGTGCCCTCAAGGCCCGCTCTCCAAGGCCCTTTGGTCTCTCTCTTTGCGATGCGAACCCGTTGCGACACCGACGCGCCACATCACTGCACCGACACGGGACTCTTGCAATCCAATGTTCGGATGCCTGAAAGCTTGCCCGGAATGGGCCCCTGTGGGTCCAAAACGAAGACTGTACGGTGTTCGGAATGGATGCCTGAATTCTCCGTCCGCGTGCCCAAAAATGCGTCCCAACAAATATTTCTGTGCCAAGGGAAACTGCTCGGTGCCAGAAATTGCGCCCCAAAAGAAAGCGGGCAAACGGTGCGGAACCTCCTCGCATCCGAACCATTTCTGGGCACAACACAGCTACAAACGTTAAAAACAATTTCGGGCACCACTTTGGAAACTATTTTGAACACGGCGCTAAAATGCGGCCACCGTGGAACCCGCGTCGTTGGGCACAGGACCTCCCCAGATGGACCGAAGCGTCGGGAAGGGAAGGGCGCCCGTAAGCTCGATTGGGCATGGGCACAAGGCCCCGAGCCCAACGACATGAATCCTCGAACCCACGACTCCGGCCCCTCGGGCCAACGACACAAGCCCGCGGGAACAGCATCGCGGCTCGAGGAGGAGGTGGAAGAGGGGGAGGGGGAGGAGGAGATGGAGGAGGAGGAGGAGGAGAGCGAGGAGGAGGAGGAGGAGAGAGGAGGGGGAGGAGGAGGAGGAGGAGAGGAGGAGAGAGGAGGAGGAAGAGGAGGAGGAGGAGGAAGAGGACGAGGAGGAGGACGGGTCGCCTAAGCCCTTCGGAGAAACCCTCCATCCCCAGGGTCGCGGCGGACGCCCTGGAGGCAAGGACACAGTCTACCGCTGATGTTCTCCACTATGTCACAGCTGCGCGCGTGGGTGCCTTACGCGCGAGGGTGCGCGCCGCACCCCGGACAGTCTCTGCGCGCGCTCTCGTGGTGTACGCCGTGACCAAAAGGGAGGCACCGCTCCGAACATTCGAAGATTCAACATCTGCGCTGACATGAACTTTCCTCGCTGCGCGCGGATTTCTGTGGTCGGCGCCTGGCCCCTCGGCGGCGCCGCCGGAGCCGCCCCTGGCGCGCTCTGCGCGCCTGGGAGAGGGGTCCAGCGCCGATCCAAACAGTTCGCGCAGACCTCCGAAATGCGCGCACACCACGAGACGCGGGGCACAAACGATTTGGGGGCACGCCCTATGCTAATTGCGCAAGTCGCAGCCACCGAGGGTGCCGCGAGATCCCGTCTGGGTCCGCACGCAACTGCACGGAATTGGACCCCCCGAGGGCCCACGGAAGTGGCAACCGTTGCACAGTTCGCAGCCACCCTAGGAGCCGCGAGGTCTCGTCTGGGTCCGCGTACTACTCCACTCCGCTGGACCTCCCAGGAGCCCACGAAAGTGGCGACTGTTGCGCAATTGACAGCCCTCCAGAGGGCCGCGAGGACTCGCCTGGGTCCGCGTACTACTCCACTCCGCTGGACCTCCCAGGAGCACACGAAAGTGGCGACTGTTGCGCAGCCTCCTGGGGAGCCGCGAGGACCCAAACTGATCTGCACTGCCCTCGCCTCCGATGTGCCTCCCAGGATCCCACGAAAGTGGCGATAATTGCACAGTGTGCAACCTCCCAAGTGGTACGAGGACGGGAGGCAAGGACGCAGGAGGCAGGAAGAGGGGAGAGGAAGGCGGTGGACGGGGTGGGGACGCACGAACAGTTCTCTATTCAATACGCGAGCCCAACACAGGAGAGGTAGGAAAAACAGCTCGGGATGACCAGGCACAGAGGAGGGGTCGAATGCCGCGAAGACCACATCACCGACAATCAGATACGTCGGAGGAAGCTATTGTGACGACTCTCTCCCTCTCTCTCTCTCTCTCGTGTAGGCTCCGCTTGTCGCTGCAAAGAAGAGTGCGAACAGCGCACCGCAAATGAAGAGGTCTCGTGCACTAAGGACAGGAGACGAAGTCCAGCGATCTCTGCCGCCGCCACTATCGCCTGCTCACTGGGATCATTATGACTGCTCTGCGACTTTGCTACCTTCGGTTCTCATGCCCCTCATGTTTGGCCTGCTCGAGGACTGCCGCGCCCTCCCTCAATTGAATTTACACCCCGTATGCTTGCCGCTTTCATCCGTCTACCATCCATCTTCTGTGCACCTCAGCCACTGCTTATTGGATGAATGTCCAACTTTGGTATCATGCCGAAAACCCACGTGCTATGCACGGCCCAAGATCCAAACGGGACGGATCAATACGTTCAGGGGTGAGCCCTGTCCCAACTGAAATAACATGTTCGGTCCTGGATCATGGAATACCCTCTCTGTTAAGACGATCCAGCAAAACCAACATCACACGACCTTGTTCACATCGACGTAACGGCCCAACTCCCAACAACTGCGCGGAAACGGACCGCTCGCAAGGGGGGGCAACATGGGGAGGTTAAGGCAGAGGAGAACGACGAGAGGACATGGGAAGCGGGGCTGGAAAGCGCTCGTCGTGAACTGGCATTGCGAAATTGAACAAATAGGCGTGAGGGAAACGGGTCCTGCACTCTGGGGCTTCGGTCAAGACCAATTTCTGATTCCAACACGCGTTTTGACGGTCGCGGGTTGTAGAAAGGGCCCGGGAAATCGAAAACTGTGAAGCTCATTTCAGGACACCCGCCCCCACCCCCCTCTGCGCGGTTTCCCCCGGGGCCGTAGACAACCCGAGGAGCGAAGAGGAGGAGGAGGCGGAGGAGGAGGTGGAGGATGAGGAGGAGGGGAGGGGGAGGAGGAGATGGAGGAGGAGGTGATGGAGGAGGAAAAGGAGGAGGAGGAGAGGAGGAGGGGTCGCCTAAGCCCTTCGGAGAAACCCTCCCCCCCCTTCTCCTCCCCCTCCTCCAACTCCTCCTCCTCCCCCTCCTCCTCCTCCTCCTCCTCCTCCTCCTCGACCCCTCCTCCTCCGCCTCCTCCTTCTCAGAGGCCCCGACGCCCCCTCCCCCAGAAGACTCCGGTGACCCCCGAGCTGCAAGGGGCCCGCGGCCTGCTGGGGGTCCCCAGGCCCCAGCAGGCCTCGAGCCTCGAGCCCCGGCCCTCGAAGGATCCTCGAGCCCCGAGGATCCAGGCCCTCGAGCCTCGAGCCCCGAAGGAATCCTCGACCCTCGAAGAGCCTCGAGCCTCGAGCCTCGAGCCTCGGGGTCAAGGGCACCAAGGGGCCTCGATCCTCGAAGGTCGGTGCCCTCGCTCTCTCTCTCGGGGCCACTGCCTTCTCCGTGGCGAACGGGCGGCGCGGACACGACGCACGCACTGCGGGGAGACTCGGCGGCGCACCCCGGGGGGTGGAGCTGAGAGGGAGCATGCCTCCAGGGCGGCGGGGCTTCTCAGAAGCTCCCCGCCTCCTCCTCCCCCTCCTCCCCCTCCTCCCCCTCCTCCTCCTCCTCCTCCTCCCTCCTCCTCCTCCTCCTCCTCCTCCTCCTCCTCCTCCTCCCTCCTCCTCCTCCCTCCTCCTCCTCCTCCTCCTCTCCTCCCTCCTCCTCCTCCTCCTCCTCCTCCTCCTCCTCCTCCTCCTCCCTCCTCCTCCTCCTCCTCCTCCTCCTCCTCCTCCTCCTCCTCCTCCTCCTCCTCCTCCTCCTCCTCCTGAGAGGCCCCCGACATTTTCCGAGAGGTCTTCTGCGTGACGAGGACAATCCTGGAGGCCTCGTGCGGCAGGTTGAGCCACATCGGACTTACGTCGGGCGCGTCGAACTTGCGTCGGATTTAGGTCGGATCATCGCCACACGAACGTCGTCCCATCTCTGACGAGGCGGACGTGTCGACCAGATGATACAACTATTGCGCGCCGCGCGGGGCCTCCAGGATTCTCATCACAGTCTGCGTCTTTGGGCAGGCTCAGGAAGCTCCTCAAAGGCCCGAGGAATTCCGAGCGGCGACTCCGAAGGGTGTGGTCGGCAACTGGCACCCTGTGGGGCACCCGGGGGGGCGGGCGAGATCCTCCTACTCGCTTCTCCCCTCGTCATGCTCCATTCGCCCCCTCTTCGTGCCCCATCCTAAGAAATGATGGCGCTCCAAAGGCACAGGACGCCGAGCCTTGTCCGCGATAAACTACAGTCAGGCCCTACGAGGCTTCCAAGGTGCCATGGTGCCCAAAAGAGAACCCCAAAAGGCTCCGTACATAGACAACCTGAAACAACGTCCTCACCGACCTACCCTTCTCATCCGTCCTGGCCCATCTTATCCACCATCCGCTGTCCTGCCCACCTCTTGCTCATCATGTATGCTCCGTCCTCGTCCGCCTTATCCGCCCTCCCTCGCTCGCTCTCCACGTGAAAGGGGGGACGTCCTGGCGCTGCCGCAGAGTCGCATCGGACGGAACGGTGATGACGGTGTCCTTCACGGGCTTGCCGTCTGCAGACTCCTGCGCACGCACACACACACATACAGCCCGGCATCTGGACGGACGCGTGGGCAATCAAGGAGGATGCGAATTTTAGCGCCATTGCAGGGGACTGCTGGCTGTGAAGGCTTCGGTCCCTGTGAATCACCGGCCCAAACCAGCCCGGTAAGCGCAGCCATTTAGTAAAGGCGCCTGAGGGAAGATCGAACAGGGCAAGGCTTTCCAAAAAACGCCCACGGCGGATCAGTAAACGCAATGTGTGAGCTCGGAGTGGTTATGCCTTCATTGAACACGCTGCTAGCAACTCGCCATGTGAAGCCATCCGCACGCAAAGCATACGTGTGCGGGGCCAATGGACAAGATGCGAGGAATCAATCCCAAAATGCTGCCCGAGTCCAGACAAGGCTCTGCAAATAGGCTGTCGGGTACTGCAATGTATCCTGGACCCCTCATGGTTGAGAGAAGCACCTGGTTTCGAGCATGGAACAAACAAGACGCGCACGTTCACGCAAATACATGAGAAGTGATCATGATCGTTGCCAAAAGCGGCGAGAAACGAACGCATCGAACAACACCAGGCCATCAGCGTGCGCCAGAATACAGGTATGACTTCTGCCTTGCATGGGCATGATACGACATGCTGGCATTTACTGTCTTTGAGCACAATTCTCGTATATGGGCGTGCTAGAGGGCTCGGATTCGATCGAACATGGGGGCTGCAAGATCTCGCTCCGCTGGGTGTGACGTGCCCACGCATGGCAAATTTCGTGCGGGTTGTGGATGGAAGTGGCGACGCTACACAAACGATTCGCAGAACCTGCGTCCACCACTTCGGAGCCCGAAAACTCGATAACGTCTTTGAGATCCAGGGTTCGAGAAATCATCAAACCAGCTATAATTTGAAAATTGTTTCCTAGAGCATCTGTACAAATTTAGGTGTGCTCGAACACCGCCTCAACTATTTCAAGACGCCCTTGCTTAACATGGTGCCCATATTTTTGAATGTGTGCAATGGGCGTGGCTTGATGCAAAGCCATGCCGGATAACACATAACGCAGCTGAGAAGCAACGGCATCCGTGACATCACCTACGGGCGGGACCCGCGGAAATGATCCCATGGGCAGGGCCGCGTGGCCGCCACGTGACATGAATGGCGGGACGCCGTGGGCCGGACCCGAGGAGGGCGAGGAGGGGGGCGAGGAGGGGGGCAAGGAAGGTTTCTGGGCGAGAAATCTTGGGGTGGGGGGCCGCAAGATGCATCTGAACTCGGCTCGCGTAGCACTTCTGCCGGCACATGCCCAAAGAGGAGCATGCCGGCCGCCTTCCGCATCCAGGCGCTCTGGTACTTGGCGTCGTAGACTAGCTTCCATATGTGGCCACTGCTGTAGTACACTCTCAGCTGACCTGGCTCGTGGCCCTTCTTCAACGAGTTCGCCAGCTGGGCGTCGCCATGCACGCAAAGTGCCCAATTGTGTCCCTTCCTTCAAGGTCATCGCCTCCGCGTCGGCCCGCTCCTCCTGGCCCCGGAAGGTGCGCGCGGTCGCCTGGGGCTTGTCGTAGAGGCCCTTGGCGTCCACAACCGCGGCGGCTGGCAGCCTTGAACGGGTCTCCTCTGGTTCCGCCAGCCGACGTTGTTGCCCAAGATCTCTAGCCACTGTAGCTTGACCCCGAACAGCTCATCTTCTCCGTCCACTGCTGAAATCGTCTCGCATGCGACTGCACTGCGGCGTCCACGATCGATCTTCCCCGACTTCCATCATGCTCGCGTCCGTCTCGTCGCCCTGGTGGATCTTCAGCGGGGCCACCCCGCAAACCAGGCCCTTGGTGGACTTCCCGTCTGGACGGTTCGATTCCGAGGAGTCGGTCCACTCGATGGGCACGGGCACCTGTGCCTTCGAATGGCTATGGATCACGATTGGGGGGTTGGCAAATTCTCGCACGCGGTCGACTAGGCGGTTCGTCTCATTGATGGTCTGCACCGTGGGTGATGGAATCATGCTGGGCGGTGGGCTGGCGTTGGCTGAGTGCACGGGTCCTGGCTGCTCGGAGCGCCACCCAACTGCGCCGAGGATCGCCCTGAGCTGCCCCTTCTCCATGTTGGTTGTCGGCGCGCCATTGTTCTTCTTGCGCTCGGGGGACAAGACGGCCTTCTCGATGGCCTTGATGAGCTCGCTCTGGTCCACGCGGAAGCTCTTGCCGGCCTGCTGCTCGACCTGGGCGCAGGTCTGCGCGGGCCCGTCCGTTTCCCAAGTCTGCCACTTGAAAAGCTCCTCGATCTTCTTGCGCGCTTCTATCCACCGTGGGTCAGACTCTTCCCCCTCAGCATGTCCAGCTCCTCGGGGTCCAGGAAGTCCCGCAGCGCCTCCCTGGTGAAGCTGTTGCCCTAGCCATGGGCGTCGCCGCACAACGCCCAGACGCAAGGGTCCATCTTCATCTTGGTCCAGCCGAACTCCTCAAGAGCCTCGCTGACTGTCATGAACCACGCGATGGCGGCCTCCACGAGCCCGCGCGCGGCCTTCCGCAGCCCCATCGCGGCGCCGTCGGACACCCCAAGGGCGGCGGCGAGCCCCTCGGCTGGCATCGCGAAAAGGCCGTGCTGGATCTCCCAGTTCTGCGCGAAAGTTCCCGTCGCATCTGCCTTGAACCCCTTGAAGCCGAGCCATGACATCACCTGCAACACCATATGTCGAGACGTCCATGTCATGGTGGGTGCCGCCGTCGGGCGGTGTTCGTACTCTGGGCCCATGTAGCCTAGAACCACGATTCGGGCCGTTGGCTTCCTTTCGCCTGTGGTCTCGTCAACCTTCCACTGCAGGATCCACCGCGCGCGCGCGACGCCCCCCGGTGGCGGGGCAACCCCCCGGCGGTGGGCATTCCAAGACAAAGGAGATGACGCAGTTATTCACCTCGGTGGCCTTCGCGACGCAGAACTTTTTTCACCTCGTCCGAGCTGAGGGCCCTCTCCGAGACCCTTCGCTTGCCCTCCCGCAGCTGGCTCGCCATGTAGGTGCCCATGTGCCTCGTAGCGTGCTTCGGGGCCTTGCCTGCAAAGCATCTCCACGAGCACCTCCAACGACGTGCCCTGCCTTTCCCAAAAAGCCCGGACATCTGGTGAGGCCTTGGCCATGAACGCAGCTCTCTCCTTCATGGTCTCCTCCGCTGCTGCAGCTCTCGCTGCCTTCGCCCCATCTGAGGCGCCGCATGGGTGCCCCCCTTTCTTCCGCATCGACTTCCGCACTGGCTGTGGAGGCGGGCCCCTCGGCGAACTCGGCGGCTCTCCATGGCTGGCTTTCTCCAGGGGTGGTGCTGGATCCAGCACTCCTGCCCAGGAAGCCGACTCCTCGTCGTGGTCGGTGGGGTCGTGGCCTGAGAAGTCCAGGTGCCCCTGTCACATCGCCAAATTCATGAAAGTGTGCACCGTCCACGTGGCGCCGTTGCCGCCCATGAGCTCCGCGCAGTCAGTCTCGCGCGCCGACGCTGCTTGGGTCTGGCTCAGGTCCACCACGATGATGCGGGCCGCCCGACCTGGATGCAAGGTCTGTTTCTCGCCGAGGTCGCCGTCCATCGGGCGACCGGTCTCCGCGGCGAGTGCCCGCGCGAGGCCCTTTTGCCAGTCCTTGGCCCTCTCCTCGCGGATGCAGCGCGCCCGCGCGCCAAGGGCCGCGGCCTTCAGCGCCTGATTCTTCGCGTTCTCAGCCCGGCTGATCCGTCGCAAGTAGACCTGCCTCAAGTGCTCTCCTTAGCAGCGTGCATCTTCGCGCAGTTCTCGCCGCGCCCTTGTCAGCCCGCTGGGCCTCCGCGCGGGGGCACTCGTCGAAGTCGCCCTCAAAGAAGTGGCCGTCGAAGTCCGGCGCCCTACCCAGCGCGTGCTGGAGAAGGAAGTAGCCGCGAGCGCCCACCCGAGAGTTCCCAGCTGTGGAGTCGGAGTCGAAATTCTCCGCGGCCTGCCGCGACATCCACGAGCCCCCAGGGCCCACCTCGACCCTCTGAGGCTTCCCGAAGTATGGCAACCACCGCCCTTCGTAGAAACTCCTCAGGTCGGCCCGCACTGGATTCCCATGTTGGTCCTTGCCCACCGCGTGCACGGTAGAGCAGCCTGTTGACCCTCACCTTGCAGCTCTCGTCTATGATCAGTGAGAACTTGAACTTGATCTTCTTCTGGGTGCCCCCACTCGAACTGGTCGGCCTGGGTGCGCTTCCACTTCGGAGGTATGGGCTCGAGGTTGACTGGTGGGTGCGTCGGGCAGTGGTGGTTCGCCTCAGCACAGGCGTCGCACTGGAAATCCTCCGCCACGCGTAGCACCTGGGGGCCCACCCCCTTCCTCCTTGAGCGCGTTCAGCCTGGAGGTCTTCGAACTGTGGCCCGATCCCATATGCGCCGCGGTGAGCCTTCGCATGGCCTGCTCGTACTCCTCCGAACTCGGGTCCGCGTCCATGGGGGTCTTCTCTCTGCCAACGGTCAGGTCCTGCTCCTCCTGCGCCTGGGCCTCGGTCATGTTCCTCATGAACACGCGGTGATCTGGCGCGCTCCCTTCGCCCATGGCTCGCGACGCCCTCTTCGCACTCGTCTGCGTAGTTGCTCGCGGGCGCGGCGAGTCCGCCTCCCGCGAGCTCGCCGCGACGATGACCTCCCGGGCGCTCCATGGCCATCCTCGCCGCCATCCTCGGAGACGGTGTGGCGATCAGCCGCTCCTTCAGAAGAAGGTCGCCCTTCTCGTTCTTCACCCCGAGCTGGCGCCCGGCCACCTTGACCGCTGTCATCGCGCAGTCCTCCACCCTGATCGCCCGGAGTCGGCGCTTCCTGGCGGCCTCAGCTCTCGCAGGGTTGGGGCCGTTGAAGCCGAGGGTGAGCGTCGAGAGCGCCCCGCATCTCGTGGTGACCCAGACGCGGCTCCGACTCGTCGCGCGTCTCCCTGGCCTTCTGGTTCCATGCTGGGGGGCCCGACTTGCGCCCGTTCCAGGAGCTGGCGCGTCGGACTGCGTCCTCGCTTAACTTCTCGGCCATCTTCGTGCTCAGAATG